TATACTATCATGTCATCAGCATAGAGGGATAATTTTACCTCCTCGTTGCCTATTTGGATACCTTTTATTCCCTTCTCTTGTCTTATTGCTATTAAAAGTGTTTGAAACGTTTTGTGTTCAACTTGCACAGTATTTAAACTCTCGCCTGAATTCATTGTCTGCTATTAAAAACGGAGAGCTTTTACATAAAAATCCCAGTCTTCAACTTCTCCTTGATGTGGAACCAGCATTCCTGCTTAGAGCAACCCGCTGGAACTGTATGGTTATTGCGTTCAGGGAACACACATCTCCCAAGCACTCCCTACCGTTTTGCCCTCATTTCTCTCATTGAACCTTTTCCCTCATGGGAGCCAGCAAATTCCTGGCCTGACGGGTTTCTATCAATGTGTGACATGTTCTTGCTATGTGTCATAGAGTCAGAACCACGTCGCCGCTGACCTCCCACGGGTTTTCAGAGGCAGTGAATGAATCACGCTGGAGAGGGCTAGTCTTTCTGTACAGCGATTGGTGGATTCGAACCTCAGGCCTTTGGATTGGCAGCGGAGCTCCTTACCCACTCAGTCACAGGGCTCCTTGGGGTCACACTGTTGTTAGGTGCCATCAAGTCTACTCCGACATAGAGCAAACCCGTGATTTAAACCTTGTTGCATCCTGTGACGTCCTCCTCATCTCCAGTATCCCATTGCTACGGTAGTTGTGTCCAGCTCACTGAGGGTCTTTCTCTCTCTGACCCTCTAACTTTCCAAGCATGATGTCCTTCTCCAAAGACCAGCCCCTCCTAACCATATGCTTTAAATAGATGAGATGCAGTGTCATGATCCTTGCTTCCAAGGAGCACCCTGACTGCATTTTTCTCCAAGACGTGATTTGTTCTCTTGGCAGTCTGTGGAATATTCAGTGCTCTTCTCCAACACCACCACCCAAAGGCATTGATTCATCTGTCAGCCTTATTGTCCAGCATTTAAATGCATAACAAGCAATCAAAACTAATCGAAGTCCATGTCACATTCGGAACATGGATTTGGAAGTTCAACAGGTGTGGTTTAAGCTGTAACGGACTCCTTGCTACCTGTCCTTGAAGGCTGGAACTTTGCGTTAATAACACTCTCCTTCAACTTGAACATTGAAGATGGCACAAGACAGGGCAGGGTTCAGACCCATTATTCATAGAGCCACTATGTGTCGTAATTGACTTGATGGCATAATAACAACAATTTTATGAGGTGGGGAAATGAAAAGAGATCATTGCCGCCT